GGTTGGAGGGAAGGGCGTGCAAAAGGGTTTAAAGCGAATGTTGTTGAAGGTAAAATATATAGCGGAGTAATTATGGGAGGATAAACTGGTTGGAGTATAGTTTGGATTAGGACACAAGTTATCTTTATCCGATCTTTATTAAAGTGTATCTGTTGAAATTTTACTTTTCTTATCTATACAATGTACAGTCTATTCCGTTTTAGAAGACCTTATTTGGAAGGTTGCAGCTAAATACAAGTTCAATTGGGATGTAAACAACTGCAATCGTGAATTGGTTCTTTATATAAGGAAAGAGAGGCACACACTAATCGGTTTCGCTGCTGTATCAGCCAATCAAAAGCGACGTTACAAACGGCGACGTCAATGTTTTAGGTTATGGGCTGATAATATAAGTTTTTAAGCCAATGAAAATGCTTGATACGAGCAAGATTAAATTATATATAAATATCACATTATTTTGACGGTCCACAGATATAAGTTATAACTGGTCAGACTAGAAACCTGGATTAATAAATTACACAAATGTTGAGGAGAGAGGTTGTTTCAAACTTCATATAATAAAACTAATATACAGTTTTCTTTTTTTTTCTTTTTCTTTCTTTTTGAAAGCCGTGCAGGTTCTAGGAAACAAATGGGCCTGCTGTATTCCTCTGCATGATCGTACAAAACGACTTAATTGGGGCCCGCTGTAGGATATGTGGTGGTTTCCTCCTTGTCTTCTGTTTATCGGGCATTGGGAGAAATCAAGATTATACCAGTAACATGTGTATCGGAAAGGCAACTTATGTGGACCCCCTGCAGAATCAGGCTTTGATTCATCAGTGACTTCTTAAGTGACAAGGAAGAAACCGAAATTGAGCTGCTATCCCATAGCAGCATTTGGGATCTTCTTCGTTTCCAATTTTTCTGTATTTTTTGTTTCCTATCTATTTTCTCTTCCTGGTGGTGTCTTACTGTGCATCCGTCCTGATATGACCCTGGCTGGCTGCGGTGAGGACGTTTTAACCCCAGACAACTTATTCGTTTTGGAAATATACCCAAATTAAATCAGGAACCAGCTTTAGAGATTGGTGTGGTTCGTATTAGTATTGTTTAACGTCCTATCAACATCTTTGGTCATTTAAAGACAGCCTCCCCTGTGTGCAAGATGCATGCGTGTAGTGTATTCGTGTGTGTTTTTGGAGGCTGCAATATGCTCGTGTTTGTCTCCTTGAAATAGCATAGCGCGGAACTGATGCCGACTTTATAGTGCTACCTCACTGAAACATACTGCCAAAGACCCCCAGCAGGACACCCCAGCCGGTCACATTATACTGACAACGGGCGAACCAGTTGTCCTACTCCTAAATAAGTTGCTGAGCTTTAGATAATCCAAAATAATTATGTTTACTTATAGGTGTATAAATGTATAAATATGAAAAATAAACTTACAAAACATAGCATTCTAAAATCAAGCATGGGCTAATGACTGAGTCATAGTTATTAATTTCAAATAGTTGAAATTAAAATTAACATGTAAAATAAATTAGATAAACAGTCGAACAATAAAAAGAAGAACCCGTACATAAATCAATACTTACGTTTAGGGTTAGATCAGCTATTGTGCGCAACAAGAGGTCATCATAAAGTAGAAGATAACAATGATATGGTCGACCGTAAAACACTCATCTTACTATGCTAGCGTACAATAATATAGTGGAAACTATTACACTCCTCATACAATGATAAACACAATATTACACTGTACTATCATACCTTATTATGCGGATTTGACTTACATAAGCATTTGAACATTCAAACAAATAATGATACTCGCTTCCAACTCCAGTAAAACAAAGCGGACAGATTCTTCCTTCACGTGGTGTTCTAGTCCATCGCCCAGTCTCTATAGGCAGAGATATATTACTAGTTCTGAACTTTCAGATAGTTATTCTATCTTTTTGTTTGAGCATAGTTAAGTATTTTTCAATCTGAAATTGATGTTTAAATATTGCATATGTTTGACCCCGGGAAGTATTTTCAATATCAGTATTCCGTCTTTGCGTATTGCAGAGTTATCTTCTCTTGGGAGCAGGTATTGTTACGTCATTTGTTTGTGAGAGAAACGTCATCAATTTTTGAGAAAACAACGTAATTTTCTCACACAGACCAATGACGTAACAATCAATACCTGCTCCCAAGAGAAGATAACTCTGCAATACGCAAAGACGGAATACCATTGTTGTAAAAATTGGTCATACAGAATAGTTTTAAAACTAGCCCTAAGGTAATTTTTATTCATAGTGCAAGTTTTTTTTGTTGTAACCATGCGTAACTAAGTCCAGTGCAATTGAATAGATTCTTGAGTTGTCTTTTACATGTTGTTATTCTGCCAGAGTACTGTCCGCCAAAAAACCTTTTTGTTTTCATCGCATAGACTGTGTATTCGCCACAAAGCTGGTCTTCGTTATTATATCTCGACTGTATTTTCGTCTCGCAGTGGAAGCATTATTACAGTCAAACGGACTTGATCCGAATCCCATGTCCTTGGAGCGTAAAGTCGAGTGAGTGTTGTCGAACTCTTTCTCTTTACCTTTTAGCAATTTCCATATTGCATTATATGCAATACATGGCATTTTTTTTCATTTTTCGACATTCAATGCACTTTAAAATAATTCACATAGAAAACAGAAAGTGAAAATCAGTGAAAAAAGTTCAGAATATTTAAAAATTTGTTCTTGTTTTTTTTAATCGTAATTTATCAAACTAAACATTTGGAAAATTAAACTTTGACATTGTTGATTAAACCGCAAAAATGAGTTGAGCTATATAATTGCAATGAATTTTTATTTCAAAATCACATTGTAATTAATTCATTTAAAATGACTGACAAATATTGCAACATATTCGATTGTGATAGATTGCGAAATAAGAAAATATGTATTCATTTGGTAGAAACAATCTTATCCCACCGCTGGCACCATATTATGAAGCGTTTTGCTCGTACCATGCTGTATCCGGTATGAGGGATGTTCACACAAACACACCACTAACTTCTTAACTATGGGCCAACACAATTTGCATCAAATGTTATTAATTGCCTTTCACTTAAAATGCGTGTCCTGTCTGGCGTATGAGCCCTGTTGTGAAATGATCCATGTGTTATTTTCCGCACTTTTCAAAGTAGTTTTTTAGGCGTGGAACAAGAAGACGTCACAGAAAAAAATACGATGATCAAGCAAATTAACATTGACCTTAATATCAACGTTATAATATTTGTTTGTTTTGTGTCCGAATCAAACCAATCAGGTCAACGACATATCACCCTATCTCTGTCTCCTATCAGCGTGATCAGTGCCCAATAGTCGGTTCATCATTACAAAAATGACGTAATACATAACCATGTAGGACCCGGGGGTTCATACATGTACATGTATCTTCGTTAAATTAATCAGTATGATTTATTTCTTCAAAATATTTGAAATAGGTATATTAATTTCATTTCAATTTTCTGTTAATTGTTCTGCGCCATAAGAATATTCACTTTTTATTTATCATAATTTATTTTCGTTTGACAATAATATCGAGGAATCTTTCTTGTTGTATTTTCTCCAGTTTTTCCACCGTCATTTTAACATTGTGTTTTGACTGGAATACTGTTAAGGGCCGTTAGGCAACGGCAACCTGGTGTATCTTTATTCAATAGAAGACCGCGAGTAAGCGTAATATGATCAACTGCCAACTGGTTGATAATAAAACTATGTTTTCATTATAATCAGGCAAATTTCTGGCAGTAATTCTCTTACAAAAGTCTGATGAATTTTATATAGAAATAACCGGTTTTTTTTTGCTGGAGCGTAGGGGGTTATTAGAGAAAATAACTGGAACCATTTTGTAGCAATTTGAACATATAAAATATAATACACATAAATGTTTTCAAAGCAAGTGTTTCTTATCTGTACAAATACAGAGATATCCACACCTAGTTGGTACTGTACGGAACCAGTTCTGTACAAATACAGAGATGTATACACCAGTCGGTAATGTCCGGAACCAGTTCTGTAACAATACAGATATAAATACACCAGTCGGTCCTGTACGGAACCAGTTATGTACAAATACAGATATGTATACACCAGTCGGTAATGTACGGCACCAAGTTATGTCTAAATACAAAGACTTCTACACCAGTCGGTACTGTATGGAACAAGTCCTGTACAAATACAGAGATGTATACACCAGTCGGTAATGTCCGGAACCAGTTCTGTAACAATACAGAGATAAATACACCAGTCGGTCCTGTACGGAACCAGTTATGTACAAATACAGATATGTATACACCAGTCGGTAATGTACGGCACCAAGTTATGTCTAAATACAAAGACTTCTACACCAGTCGGTACTGTACGGAACCAGTTCTGTACAAATACAGAGATATCCACATCTAGTCGGTACTTTACGATACCCAGTTCTGTACAAATACAGAGATGTATACACCAGTCGGTACTGTACGATACCCAGTTCTGTACAAATACAGAGATGAATACACCAGTCGGTACTGTACGAAACCAGTTCTGTACAAATACATAGATCTATACACCAGTCGATACTGTACGGAACCAGTTCTGTACAAATACAGAGATGTATACACCAGTTGGTACTGTACGGAACCAGTTCTGTACAAATACAGAGATGTATACACCAGTCGGTAATGTACGGAACCAGTTCTGTACAAATACAGAGATGTATACACCAGTCGGTACTGTACGGAACCAGTTCTGTACAAATACAGAGATGTATACACCAGTCGGTACTGTACGGAACCAGTTCTGTACAAATACAGAGATGTATACACCAGTCGGTACTGTACGGAACCAGTTCTGTACAAATACAGAGATGTATACACCAGTCGGTACTGTACGGAACCAGTTCTGTACAAATACAGAGATGTATACACCAGTCGGTACTGTACGGAACCAGTTCTGTACAAATACAGAGATGTATACACCAGTCGGTACTGTACGGAACCAGTTCTGTACAAATACAGAGATGTATACACCAGTCGGTACTGTACGGAACCAGTTCTGTACAAATACAGAGATGTATACACCAGTCGGTACTGTACGGAACCAGTTCTGTACAAATACAGAGATGTATACACCAGTCGGTACTGTACGGAACCAGTTCTGTACAAATACAGAGATGTATACACCAGTCGGTACTGTACGGAACCAGTTCTGTACAAATACAGAGATGTATACACCAGTCGGTACTGTACGGAACCAGTTCTGTACAAATACAGAGATGTATACACCAGTCGGTACTGTACGGAACCAGTTCTGTACAAATACAGAGATGTATACACCAGTCGGTACTGTACGGAACCAGTTCTGTACAAATACAGAGATGTATACACCAGTCGGTACTGTACGGAACCAGTTCTGTACAAATACAGAGATGTATACACCAGTCGGTACTGTACGGAACCAGTTCTGTACAAATACAGAGATGTATACACCAGTCGGTACTGTACGGAACCAGTTCTGTACAAATACAGAGATGTATACACCAGTCGGTACTGTACGGAACCAGTTCTGTACAAATACAGAGATGTATACACCAGTCGGTACTGTACGGAACCAGTTCTGTACAAATACAGAGATGTATACACCAGTCGGTACTGTACGGAACCAGTTCTGTACAAATACAGAGATGTATACACCAGTCGGTACTGTACGGAACCAGTTCTGTACAAATACAGAGATGTATACACCAGTCGGTACTGTACGGAACCAGTTCTGTACAAATACAGAGATGTATACACCAGTCGGTACTGTACGGAACCAGTTCTGTACAAATACAGAGATGTATACACCAGTCGGTACTGTACGGAACCAGTTCTGTACAAATACAGAGATGTATACACCAGTCGGTACTGTACGGAACCAGTTCTGTACAAATACAGAGATGTATACACCAGTCGGTACTGTACGGAACCAGTTCTGTACAAATACAGAGATGTATACACCAGTCGGTACTGTACGGAACCAGTTCTGTACAAATACAGAGATGTATACACCAGTCGGTACTGTACGGAACCAGTTCTGTACAAATACAGAGATGTATACACCAGTCGGTACTGTACGGAACCAGTTCTGTACAAATACAGAGATGTATACACCAGTCGGTACTGTACGGAACCAGTTCTGTACAAATACAGAGATGTATACACCAGTCGGTACTGTACGGAACCAGTTCTGTACAAATACAGAGATGTATACACCAGTCGGTACTGTACGGAACCAGTTCTGTACAAATACAGAGATGTATACACCAGTCGGTACTGTACGGAACCAGTTCTGTACAAATACAGAGATGTATACACCAGTCGGTACTGTACGGAACCAGTTCTGTACAAATACAGAGATGTATACACCAGTCGGTACTGTACGGAACCAGTTCTGTACAAATACAGAGATGTATACACCAGTCGGTACTGTACGGAACCAGTTCTGTACAAATACAGAGATGTATACACCAGTCGGTACTGTACGGAACCAGTTCTGTACAAATACAGAGATGTATACACCAGTCGGTACTGTACGGAACCAGTTCTGTACAAATACAGAGATGTATACACCAGTCGGTACTGTACGGAACCAGTTCTGTACAAATACAGAGATGTATACACCAGTCGGTACTGTACGGAACCAGTTCTGTACAAATACAGAGATGTATACACCAGTCGGTACTGTACGGAACCAGTTCTGTACAAATACAGAGATGTATACACCAGTCGGTACTGTACGGAACCAGTTCTGTACAAATACAGAGATGTATACACCAGTCGGTACTGTACGGAACCAGTTCTGTACAAATACAGAGATGTATACACCAGTCGGTACTGTACGGAACCAGTTCTGTACAAATACAGAGATGTATACACCAGTCGGTACTGTACGGAACCAGTTCTGTACAAATACAGAGATGTATACACCAGTCGGTACTGTACGGAACCAGTTCTGTACAAATACAGAGATGTATACACCAGTCGGTACTGTACGGAACCAGTTCTGTACAAATACAGAGATGTATACACCAGTCGGTACTGTACGGAACCAGTTCTGTACAAATACAGAGATGTATACACCAGTCGGTACTGTACGGAACCAGTTCTGTACAAATACAGAGATGTATACACCAGTCGGTACTGTACGGAACCAGTTCTGTACAAATACAGAGATGTATACACCAGTCGGTACTGTACGGAACCAGTTCTGTACAAATACAGAGATGTATACACCAGTCGGTACTGTACGGAACCAGTTCTGTACAAATACAGAGATGTATACACCAGTCGGTACTGTACGGAACCAGTTCTGTACAAATACAGAGATGTATACACCAGTCGGTACTGTACGGAACCAGTTCTGTACAAATACAGAGATGTATACACCAGTCGGTACTGTACGGAACCAGTTCTGTACAAATACAGAGATGTATACACCAGTCGGTACTGTACGGAACCAGTTCTGTACAAATACAGAGATGTATACACCAGTCGGTACTGTACGGAACCAGTTCTGTACAAATACAGAGATGTATACACCAGTCGGTACTGTACGGAACCAGTTCTGTACAAATACAGAGATGTATACACCAGTCGGTACTGTACGGAACCAGTTCTGTACAAATACAGAGATGTATACACCAGTCGGTACTGTACGGAACCAGTTCTGTACAAATACAGAGATGTATACACCAGTCGGTACTGTACGGAACCAGTTCTGTACAAATACAGAGATGTATACACCAGTCGGTACTGTACGGAACCAGTTCTGTACAAATACAGAGATGTATACACCAGTCGGTACTGTACGGAACCAGTTCTGTACAAATACAGAGATGTATACACCAGTCGGTACTGTACGGAACCAGTTCTGTACAAATACAGAGATGTATACACCAGTCGGTACTGTACGGAACCAGTTCTGTACAAATACAGAGATGTATACACCAGTCGGTACTGTACGGAACCAGTTCTGTACAAATACAGAGATGTATACACCAGTCGGTACTGTACGGAACCAGTTCTGTACAAATACAGAGAGGTATACACCAGTTGGTACTGTATGGAACCAGTTCTGTACAAATACAGAGAGATATACACCAGTCGGTACTGTACGGAACAAGTTCTGTACAAATACTGAGATGTATACACTAATCGGTACCGTACGGAACCAGTTCTGTACCAATACAGAGATGTATACACCAGTCGGTACTGTACGTAACCAGTTCTGTACAAATACAAAGATGTATACACCAGTCGGTGCTGGAACCAGTTCTGTACAAATGCAGAGATGTATACACCAGTCGGTAATGTACGGAACAAGTTCTGTACAAGTACTGAGATGTATACACTAATCGGTACCGTACGGAACCAGTCCTGTACAAATACAGAGATGTATCCACCAGTCGGTACTGTACGGGACCAGTTCTGTACAAATGCAGAGATGTATACACCAGTCGGTAATGGACGAAAACTAGTTCTGTACAAATACAGAGCTGTATACCCCAGTCGGTACTGTACGGAACCAGTTCTGTCCAAATACAGAGATGTAAACACCAGTCGGTACTGTACGGCACCAAGTTATGTCTAAATACAAAGACTTCTACACCAGTCGGTACTGTACGGAACCAGTTCTGTACAAATACAGGGATGTATATACCAGTCGGTACTGTACGGGACCCAGTTCTGTACAAATACTAAGATGTATACACCAGTCGGTAATGTACGGAACCAGTTCTGTACAAATACAGGGATGTATACACCAGTCGGTACTGTACGGAACCAATTCTGTACAAATACAGAGAGATATACACCAGTCGGTACTGTACGGAACCAGTTCTGTTCAAATACAGAGATGTATACACCAGTCGGTACTGTACGGCACCAAGTTATGTCTAGATACAAAGACTTCTACACCAGTCGGTACTGTACGGAACCAGTTCTGTACAAATACAGGGATGTATACACCAGTCGGTACTGTACGGGACCCAGTTCTGTACAAATACTGAGATGTATACACCAGTCGGTAATGTACGGAACCAGTTCTGTACAAATACAGGGATGTATACACCTGTCGGTAATGTACGGGACCCTGTTGGTAATGTACGGGGCCACGGTTTGTACAAATACAGAGATTCCTACACAAGTCGTTTACTGTGCGGGACCAGGTTTTGTACAAATACATAGATTCCTACATCATTCGGTACTGTACGGGCCCAAGTTCTGTACAAATATACATGTAGATAGTCCTACATCAGTCGGTACTTAACGGGACCAAGTTCTGTACACCAGTCGATACTGTACTGGACCAAGTTATGTACAAATACAGATAGTCCTACAGCAAAAGTCGGTAATTTACGGGGCTAAGTTCTTTATTAAACAGAGCTTTCATGACTTATGTGGTTCAGTTCGGGACCCAGCTCTGTACAAACACAGAGATTCCTACATCAGTCGGTACTGTACGGGACCAAGTTCTGTATAAATACAGAGATCCCTACACCAGTCTATACACTAAGATACAAATCCTGAGATTCTTACACTAGTCAATACTGTACACAGTCTTTTAATAACTCTGATTGGTTGCATATAGTCTGAAGTCCTATAAACAGCCAAAGTTGTTCAAGGACGTGTCTCCATGTTTGTTGTGTATGCGTGCATGTATGTGTGCCAATAGGGTATGCTGGTGTATCTACCTCCTTGTGACAGCGCGGATCTGATGCCGAGTTTATAGTGCTGTCTCACTGTAATATCAAGCCGAGCAGTTACTGTAAGCGTGTTTATTTAGCAGTATTATCATTTTCATACCTCCCGTGCTATATCTTGCCAATATACGTACAGCGCTAATGATGGACGCAATTGTTATCCTAAACTTTGCTCCAGGAAAATGTTATTATACTACTTCATGACTTGCTTATTGCTCAACGTGTTCCTGAGAGCTAGAGTACCAGTACGCTGTTATAAATACGTTTACAGTATATGCATATTAAAAGCAGTAAATCAAACGCAAATAGAACCACAATTCCATCAAATTTGTTTTCATTGGTTTAATAAATGATAACAATAAATTTTAACATTTGTATACAAAGGAATCAAATTGACATTTTCATAAAAAAAAAAAATCTTTACAAAAATAAGTTTGACTCAATGGCACCATTTGAATAATAGGATAAATGCATAGATTAAATATATATATCACTTTGTTTCAGTTAGTACTTTTTGCATTGTCTCTGTAGCACACAAAACGTGCATTTGATGCACAAGTCCCGTTTGGTAGACAATGTAATTTGTTCGTAGGACAAAGAGTTCTTTCATTGGTCCCCAGTGATTCACTCACGTGGTTCGGTTGTGAAATGACAAGCTTTCACGGCACATTGATGATGCACGTGCAGAATGATATTCTGCATGTGCATGAGTTGCAGAAGCGGAGCGTGATTCTCTGTAACGGTTTGCTTGCCGATCTCGCAGAGGCACAATCAGTGCAGATGTGGTATCACATTTTGGATGACACCAGTTGGAATCTGCTGCTTGATCGTTTTGGTTGATCATCAGTGATCCGACCTTTAGTTGTTCCGGTAAGACGTAGACATGCGCAGCTCACGTCAGATTAACGAGGCTTGCGTTAAGGTCTATGTAGTAGATGAGCGAGCCGACCATTTCGCCGTTGTTGAGGCGACCCCCAATAGGCAGAAAACCAACACGGCGGAATCCTCCGATTTTCTCAATGATTCTTTGTATAGCAATGTTATTTGAGAAAGTGTCAACGTACATGGCCATATATCCGAGTCTACGGGAAAAGTCAATGGCTGTTCGCAAGGCAAATTCTCCAAGTCTCTGTTGGCGTTCAGATCTCTTTACAATCACAAACGGATCGGCCACACCCGAGGGACCACGGTAGAATTTGCTAACTGCAATTATGAATGCAGCAATCATATCACCGCTTTCTTTACATATGATAGCAAAGCAATCACTACCATCAATTTCTCTTCGGAAGTCTTTTTCTGAGTCAAATTCGTCCATTCCGTACCCCTCGCCGTTCTGTGCGGCCTCCTGTATCATGAGGTATGTGTGTGTGAGCTGGCGATCTGTCATATAATCGATGATCACGGCTCGGCCGGTCTGTAGCTTTGCCATCATGGGAAGGCTAGTCATATTTATTTTCTCGTCTTTCAGCAGCATGCCTTATCTGTAAAATATAAAGTATTCCAAACATTAAAATTCATTCTGTATTGATCATTTGAATAGTTTTATTGCACGAACATAAAATTATTATCATTTTGGACACTGTTTAAAATAATCTTTTGCTTTCGTCTTTTTGCATAAGAACGCGGGTTAAGCAGAGAGATGAATGCTGTATGAAAGGTGCACATTACAGTTCCCATTGGCTTGTGTATATATTTTGACTGACGGCTATCGACACTTGCAGCGATATATACGAGGTAGAAATCTACATCATATTTACTTTAAACTCAACAATGCAGGTCGACAACATAAACCCTTTCACCCTATGTAACTTTAGTAGACTCTACCATGCATTGATCTGGATGAGTCCACTATGGTCTACAGTGGTGAAAGGGTTAAAATCGATATCGTGTAAACAGCCTTCCTAACTCAATACACTATTAGTACAAGGTCGGTCGGTTTTACCATGTTTAGAAATTGTTGATGTTTTTCAACATAGGGATCTTCTAGTGATTCTATCGACCTTGAACTTCTTTTCACATAAAGCCGAGACTAGCTTATAGTACTAGTAATATGTGTATATATATACACGAGCAGTCTACTGTACACTAACAGTGTTGCGCGGTGATAATAACACGGGCCGACAAAATGCAAGCAGAGGTTATATTGAACCGCTTATTTACCCGGAGGCCTGTACACAGATTTATTTGTAACACTTAAAAATAACCAGTTTACTTCTAATACTATAACTGCATTAATAACATAATAAAATATCAAATAACACTAAATTACTGTTTTCCCCTTTTTCAATAAAAAAAAATATTTCAAAAAAAATCCCGGTGCTCTGTTTTATAGGTGGGTCGAAAAATGCCCCCCTCACTGCATAGCAATATGTCACCAAATCTTGCTCTGCACTTTAATTTTTTGGGGGAAACCAATCGGACAAATTTCAATAGTTTTCATGATATTTCAAAGATTGTGGTGAAAATATGTACTCGATAATTGATTCATAGTTTTATCCATGCTTATAAGTGGAATTTATGTTTAACGCATCAATTGCGTTAAGATGTACATATTTTCACGTACATTTGTTTTTTGTTGATGCAGTACAATAAACATTGCAGTACAGTTTTTCATGGTTGATCCCGTGACAGTGGACGCCAAATAATATGCTGAGTCAGCCCTATGTTGGTGACATTGTCCATCAAGACACATTTGTAAATACGTATTTATCGTTCAATCGATTCGTGTCGTCGACCCTCTTAAGATCGTGAGACGAAACTCGTTCGAGCTGTCAAACCGGACATCAATTGACAACTGCCCACAGGTCATTAATATGTAGACCATAAAAAACGTCCACACCCTCAGGTAAACGCCTCCAGGTAAAACAGTGCAAATAAAACACACTAGAAAAGCACCCTTACATCAATGTATGCTAATGTATAGGTAAAATAATGGACTTCTATCACAGGTAACAAGTAAAACCGCAGTCAAGTCCCTAATCACGTCAACACAGTTGACATTTAGTCCGAAACACGGCTAATGACCAATATTGCATTGCAACGTAAAGGTTATGCGCCGGGACCAGCCCCGCCATAGGACGTCACACGTCGTAAACTGTATATGCAATATCTTAAATAAGAATACACGATAGATTTTTTTTTATATTATTTTTTAAAATGAAATATAAGTAAACTTATCCAATAATGTACTAAACTGCCACTCAAACGGTACATCGCACTCTCAACATAATTTATATACATGTACGTTAATTCTTTTTGAATATACACATTTATACATCCTTCATGTACCTGTGTATACACATGTATATTGGTTGTATGTATAGACAACTATAGTCAACAGATGGAACGGCACTGACCTATTCGAGAAAACCCGTTTTACTGTCAATATTTACAAACGTGTGATGTCTGAATTCAATACGAGCAAGACTATATACACACAGAGTTTTCAGGTTTAAGTGACTAATGCATCCAACACGTGTCAGCCGAGAATTAAACTGTCATACACTAATAACTATACTAATTGTAATAAAGCTAGAAAGTTGCATCACATTTGCTTACACGTGCATGTCGGTTCGTCATGCATGTTTTACAGGTATGCATGACCACGTGATATTGAGTAATGCATAGCTGTCAAACAATAAATATCGTATCTACGTGTTATTAAAATCACACGTGAACATTTTAGTCATAATATACACACGTGCCAGTGAGTCATAACGTTAAAAGATAAATAAAAAGTTTAAATTAAAATGCACATGAAAATACAACCTAATTAAACATTTATTATAATAAATTGAAGAAAAATATCATATAAATGTATACTTACGTTAATGGTTAGGTTTGCTGTTGTTTGTGTAGTGTTAAAATCCTTGCACGGTTTGTATAAGTACGGTGGTATGTCCAAAAGCTAAACTGTTTCTGCTTCTGTTCGCCAGTCGGCTTGTTTATATACTCTGAGGGTGACGTCACAACGTATACACAGACGGTTTTCTGGAGCTTAGCCAAGTTGGTAGTGTTAGGCGCGAGACAGACTTTACACAGACTGCCCCTTGTAAAATATGATTGGTCGACGAGGTTGAGACAGATATGCAAATTAATTAGTCTGTAATCTTGTATTGTACGATAATGTGTATTGCATAGGTATCATGAGAGTACATACTATGTATGCTATATATTGCTGAGCTATACACAGAACGAACTCTGGAGGTTTTTATGATTCTAAACGTGCGATGTAAAAAAACATCTATTAAATTTTAATGCATATTTTACATAAAACGAAAAGTCGGAGGGTAGGGTGGTTCTTGGGTGGGGACTTTGAACTTCGGGAGGGGTGGCCCGGGGGTGGAATATAGAGTAAGGGAGTGGCGGCCCTGTTGTTGTTTTTTGGAATGGTGAGGGGATTTTACATGCAAAACATAATTAAATATAAAAAATCAATCAATCAATAAATTTTACTTAAAATGCAATTAACGACAGTTTATTTTGAATATTAACGAAATATTTTATCAATAGAAAACGAAAACCAACTTGTCTTTTTATTTTGAAAAAAATATGAAAATAAAAATTTCGTATTCTGTTTTATTTCCGTGAAGTTGTCGTTTACAACGAAAACAAAGCGGAAAATAAGAATTTGGCATTCTTTTTCTGTGAAGTTCGTTAGTACGGAGATAAACATAAACTGTTGTTATTCCAGATCGGAACGCACGTTGTCTAAATGAACGTAGTAACGTAATGTCACTGACGCATTTCTAGCAGTATACGAGTGACAGTGAGACCGTCTTCATTTACTACACCAACCAAGAATGTATTAAAATACACCTACATGTTCATGTACACCTGGTCTGAGAAGTGTGAAGCTATCGTGTAAACACGTCTCTACCAGACTTCACCTTTCTCCGAAACGTCATCTTCATGACTGTTTGAGAGTTCTATTTGGAAACTTAATCATGTTTAATTCACCGACGGTGAGACCTAGTAAATCGTTGGGCTAACTTATAAATGACAAATTGAAGAGAGGGAAATTATATAGCGTGTGTGTGGTATTTACATATTTATGAATTATAATTGGGGAGGGGACTGCAAACAAAAAAAGAACATCACGTTTTTCTTTTACTACTATCGTCATCAACAAATACCGAGGGGGTTTCCGGGTTTTTGGAGGAATTGGGATGCGTTCCATCAATATCTTAAGCTACACGAGTTTGTGACGACTTTCATGTCAGATTGAATCGAATGTACCTATGTGCCTGAATTAATTATACTTTTTACTGCTTTTTTGACACACATTTTAACCCCCACCACATCCCCCATAATGATTTCCGTATGTATCAATATTTTGAAATTTACATTGATATTGATGTGAACCATGAACTTAAGTGACTTGGTCGTTAATAGTCATCCTATAGCTTCTAAACCTACCATAGAGCATATATATACGAAAGCCGATGAGTACCACAAAAAAGAAAAAAATCCTAGCTCGTTATTACGACTTAACTATCTCGTTATTACGAGTTCTGTTATTTCGTTATTACGAGTTCTGTTATCTCGTTATTACGAGTTCTGTTATCTCGTTATTACGAGTTCTGTTATCTCGTTATTACGAGTTCTGTTATCTCGTTATTACGAGTTCTGTTATCTCGTTATTACGAGTTCTGTTATCTCGTTATTACGAGTTCTGTTATCTCGTTATTACGAGTTCTGTTATCTCGTTATTACGAGTTCTGTTATCTCGTTATTACGAGTTCTGTTATCTCGTTATTACGAGTTATGTTATCTCGTTATTACGAGTTCTGTTATCTCGTTATTACGAGTAAATGTTATCTCGTTATTACAAGTTTCATTATCTCGTTATTACAAGTTCTGTTATCTCGTTATTACGAGTTAATGTTATCTCGTTATTACGAGTTCTGTTATCTCGTTATTACGAGTTAATGTTATCTCGTTATTACGAGTTCTGTTATCTCGTTATTACGAGTTGATGTTATCTCGTTATTACGAGTTAATGTTATCTCGTTTTTACGAGTTAATGTTATCTCGTTATTTCGAGTTCTGTTATCTCGTTATTACGAGTTCTGTTATCTCGTTATTACAAGTTACATTATCTCGTTATTACCAGTTAATGTTATCTCTTTATTACGAGTTCTGTTATTTCGTTATTACAAGTTTTGTTTTCTCGTTATTACGAGCTCTGTTATCTCGTTATTGCGAGTTAATGTTATCGCGTTATTACGAGTTCTGTTTTCTCGTTATTACGAGCTCTGTTATCTCGTTATTTCGAGTTAATGTTATCGCGTTATTACGAGTTATGTTATCTCGTTATTACGAGCTAATGTTATCTCGTTATTACGAGTTAATGTTATCTCGTTATTACAAGTTACATTATCTCGTTATTACGACTTCATTGATCTTGTTATTACGAATTATGCTATCTCGCTATTAAGACTTAATTTATCTCGTTATTACGAGTTCTGTGGTCTCGTTTTTACGAGTTTATCTAATTTGTTATTACGACGTCATGAATTATCCCATTATTACAAATATCAGCAATAAATTCTAAAATGTAATCAATTAAGATATCTAATTTAGTTTTCATGTTACTGAAAAGGTAATGTTGCAAGTAAAATGAAATATCACGTAAGTCTAGATTGGCTGAATTGGTAAAAACATGCGTGAATTCCGATCCGTATAGAAGTGTGTTATTTTCTTGAGGTTAATGAAACACTGTGTATAGACACGTACAATATATACAATGTAGGTGCATTTTATAACGATAAATAACACATATATCAATAGGAGGTGTGTGGTAAACTTTACCTGTCTAAATCGCGAGCCTTATATGGTCATACATGCACATGTGTGTACGTTTGTCATGTTTATACGTATAGGAAGTTCAAGGTGTCGTTTTTTGCCCGAGGAGTTAATTTACAGGTGTGAAATCAGGTAAGGTGTTATGTACATACTGAGTAATGGTCTCACTCGTTTTTACTGTGAGTTTTTTGTTTTAACTATTACGCAATAAATAGTCAATGAAACGATAAAAAAAAATCAGTCGATAAATCGATCAATTTATCACACATTCACTACACGTGTTCCCGAATGGAATCCTTTATTCTCCGATGAAGTAAATACAGCTCTTTCTTTACTGGATTATCTAAAACATATTCGGCTACAACTAAATACAAAAACGATAGACCCATATCCGGAAATTATTATTACATGTACTGATCAGACTTTAATTAATATCACTAAGTAATTAAAACAGGACGTAACCCGTTAGTAAGTGGTACTCACTTATCAAGACTGGACTTAAATTATACGTAATAACAAAGACTAGCATTTTAATTTAATTAAATTCCTTACCAAGACACTACACACATGGAGGCACGTCCTTATAAATGACCTTAGCTGTTAATAGGTCGTTAAACAAAATCAAACCAAATCAAGCCAGACTTCAATAAGTCTTATACCTACTTACCAAGGCCGGACTTTAATTAGTCTTACCTATTAACCAAGACCGCACTTTAATTAGTCTTTCCTACTTACCAAGCCCGGACTGTAATTAGTCTTACCTATTAACCAAGACCGGACTTTCATTAGTCATACCTACTCACCAAGACCGGACTTTAATCAGTCTTGCCTACTTACCAAACCCGGACTTTAATTAGTCTCGCCTACCTACCAATACATGACTTCAATTAGGCTTACCTTCTTACCAAGACCGGACTTAAATTAGTCTTTCCTACTTACCAAGACCGGACTTCAATAAGTCTTACCCAATTACCAGGACCGGACTTAAATTATTCTTACATACCAAAACTGGACCGCAGTTAGCAGGAACATATATATCCAACCTCAGTATTCTTTTTCTCCAAATATCGGTATTTTTGTTTTAGTTTTTACGGGAATCAATCAATTTGATTATTAAGTTTCCTGAAATGAAAATAACCCCACATATCCCCTCAACTTTGGAAAGTATCAGAATAGGTTGTTGATTCGTGGAATATTACGCTCGTATTTGGTAAGGGCAAACTGGTTGTGTAAACACTCATAGCCTAGATTCTATTTTTTTTTTTTTTAGAATTGTTAAAAAT